GGAAAATTAATAATTACTATATTTTTGTTCGTTTTTTCATTTAATAATTGATCTATTTCAAATTCTAGCTCACCTTTTGTGTGGGAATTATCCTTAATTATTGAATCCATTTCTTCCAATTCTTGTGCTACTCTTTTGGATTCCAATTGGTAAACTCTGTTTTCTTCTTTCAGATAATTAACTTCTGATTTGATATTTTGTAACTCGGTGTTTAATTGATTGAATTTTTCTTGAATCAAATCGTATATGGATTTCAGCGAATATTTTTGTTCTTCTGCTGTTGGAGTGTCTGCTCCTTGTACAGTATGAAAGTAGTCTTGTATTTTTGGAGTTCTCCCATCGTTTAATTCCTCTCTATCATACTCCTGTTCTTCAGGCAGAATTTCTTGACTGGAATTAGTTCCAGATATTCTTATTTTTTCTGTAGCTTTAGGAATGACACTGCGCGGCCTCCCACGCCCCTTCTTTTGCATATCTGTGTGGCCGCCACGTTGAGGAGATCTAGGCAAAGGTCCTGGGTTAGGTTCTATACCAGAAATAAGCAATAGGTATAATATTACTAGCAGAGAAAGACATTTGTTATACTTCCACTTAAATTGAGGTAGTATTTTCCTCCAAGAGCGAATCATTATCACACAATGTTGTATCAACTCTTCTCTTGAGGTTATCGCGCCAGCACCTTCGACAGTCGAGACACTCCCCCTAATTATAACAATTAATATTGTTAAATATTTTATTATTATTTATTTAGAACTTTTTCTTTTGAAAGAAGTTGGAATTTTAAAAGTCAGATATAGAATAAAATGAATACTGTGTTTGGCTTGAACATAAAAAATTCAAAATTCTTTACTTGCAGTTTATAATTCTTTTAATAAAATATAGTTAAGAGCTCAAGTTTTGACAAACAGTTATCAGATTTTGAATTTAAAATTCAATAAAATAATTTGATTCTTATTACTATAAAAATTATAATTGATTTTTAATGAAATATTAAAATTTATATATGGTGCTTATGTACCTGAAACGTAAGATAGTGTAAATTTTTAATAACAATTTTTCTTTCTTTTGTAGAGTACAGAATCAACATTTATAAAAGATGTTAAACAATGGCTGTTGCCATTTCTTCAGTGTTGTAATAAATATAGACCTGGAAGTCATAAAGAATTACTAAGAGAATATTTAGTGAAATTAGCAACTGAAGAGCTTACAAATTGCTTAAAGATATTTGAAAGTTCTCGTGTTGATGTAAGTTAAAAATATAGCATTTCATACAAATTAATATATTTATAGAAATTATCTTTTACATTAGATCATTCTTAAAATTATTTACTTTAATAATTTCATCTAATCCTTATGATGTGGAATAAAGTTTACAAAGATTAATATAATTTTATTGATATTTTACTAAAATTTAAATGCAAATAATGCAAATAAAAAAATAAATATATCTCGCAATGGAAAATAATTTTTTCTATTAGGATTTTTTTGCATAGGATAGTCATTCTGTTTAAATATGTATACAATTTTTAGTACATAATATTAACATTTTTTGTTTAAGTAGTCATATTAAAAAAAGTATTTGAAAATATGTTGATAATTTTATATATAGTTGTTAATATTACAATTAAAACTGATAAAATTATTTACCAGTTCTTAATTTTTAATTTAAACAATGTTAATAGTTATAATTTAACTTCCCGCTTCTGTTCTGCTGGGTAAAATAAAATTGTTGATTGGCTAGTATTTTTGGAGTCTGTGGATGTGATAATTCAAACACTGTTATTTTCTAGGGATTGGTTACATATTGAAATGTTAATAGTAATTAAAAACTTGATTTCTTTATAATTTTTAGTAAATAATAATAATTTTTTAAATTGTATATATTTTGAGTTATTGCATGAGTTAATCACAAGATTAGAGAGTATTAGAAGTGAAAGTTAAGATTGCAGATCATTGATGTCACAATACTATATCATTATATTAACATTTTTAAAGTAGTTTTTTAAAGTTTTGTTAAAGTCAAATTAGTTGTTTTAATCTTTAGTATTAAAGTGCAATTTTATTAAAGTTTTTTATATTTACATATTAGATGTTAACTTAAATTGATATTTAATATTTTAACTATAGTTTGATTTAAATGTGTTAAACATAATCTTTTATTTCTTTTATTTATTATGAATATTTAGCAACCTGACCCCATTATAACAGATATTGCTGAATTAATGTCATTGGCATTAGACTGTGTTTATGCATGCAAGAGGTAAAAGTGGTTATAAATGAAGATTAAACTGATACTAAAATGTTTTTATTTTGGCTTAATTATAATTTAAAAATATAATTTCATAAAATTGTAAAATGTAAAAAATTGTTGAATAAATTTTATAATAGTAAATTTTTAATAACAATTTTTCTTTCTTTTGTAGAGTACAGAATCAACATTTATAAAAGATGTTAAACAATGGCTGTTGCCATTTCTTCAGTGTTGTAATAAATATAGACCTGGAAGTCATAAAGAATTACTAAGAGAATATTTAGTGAAATTAGCAACTGAAGAGCTTACAAATTGCTTAAAGATATTTGAAAGTTCTCGTGTTGATGTAAGTTAAAAATATAGCATTTCATACAAATTAATATATTTATAGAAATTATCTTTTACATTAGATCATTCTTAAAATTATTTACTTTAATAATTTCATCTAATCCTTATGATGTGGAATAAAGTTTACAAAGATTAATATAATTTTATTGATATTTTACTAAAATTTAAATGCAAATAATGCAAATAAAAAAATAAATATATCTCGCAATGGAAAATAATTTTTTCTATTAGGATTTTTTTGCATAGGATAGTCATTCTGTTTAAATATGTATACAATTTTTAGTACANATAATAATAATATATTTATATTTAGAGAAGATCAGTTATCTCAAGCTTTTGGAATACTTGAATGTTTACCTCAAAGAGGATATGGGTAATTATATATTGTGATAATTTTATTACTTTTTAAAGATATATAAGTACAGAGTGTGCCAGAAGCATCTGATGGTTTTGAAATTTTAATTTGCAAGATATGGTGGCCATTTGCAATATTTTATTTCAGGAAATAAGTGACACATATTCATTCTCCATTAAAAAATAATATATATATAAAGCAACAAATATTTATGCTTTTCCCTGAAGTGTTATTTTATTTTAGAAACTGTCAGTTGTTTCTCACACACCCTATATAACTATTTAAAATTTTAAGAATATAAACTGGAAGATAAGATTAAAAATTTTTATTTATAACTCAGAATAATAAAATCTGTTTTGAATCCAAATATCAAATTAATTTAGTTGAAATTAAATAAGAAAAAAATAAATTGTTTTTATTTCTTGTTATATCAAAATTTTATGATGCCATCACCTAGAATAGAGTAAAATAGAATAACTAAGATAATGAGTTATTAAAACAAAACAAATTTGTTTGAATTGTTTTATTTTTTTTTAAAGAAAATACAATTATTACAGATTACTCATAAACATTTCAATTACTGCTACACATCTCTATCATTCTTTTTTGATTTATTTATTTATTTATTTATTTTTTGCCTTTCTCAGCAGTAAGAATAGCTTAAACAATTTTATTTTAAAAATTTCCTGTTATTTAACCACCTTATCTTACCTTCTCAATATTTTCTATTTTTGTCTATTATAATTAACTTTTGTTAAATTTCTGTGTTCTATTATAATTAGAACATAGATCTAATCTTTAATCTTTAATCGTTCAAGAAATTAAATGTAAATTTATTTATTTATTTATTTATTTTTTGCCTTTCTCAGCAGTAAGAATAGCTTAAACAATTTTATTTTAAAAATTTCCTGTTATTTAACCACCTTATCTTACCTTCTCAATATTTTCTATTTTTGTCTATTATAATTAACTTTTGTTAAATTTCTGTGTTCTATTATAATTAGAACATAGATCTAATCTTTAATCTTTAATCGTTCAAGAAATTAAATGTAAAATTATATTTCAATTGGGTTTCAGTTTTTTATTTCAAAATTAATAATCATATAAAACTGAAGAAGAATTATAATGTCAAAATCTTTGCACAATTAAGATGTCTCAAATATTCCAAGTTTCCAAGTTTGATTTAAAGTATTTGAACTGTTTTTTTTATTCCTTATTTTAATGCATAATTTTGTACAGTATTATATATTTTACAATATTTAAAACATTCAATTTGCAAAAGAACAAAATTTTCTTGTATTTCTTTTCTATCAGTATTAAGCAGGGGCTCTTTAACCTTTTTCTGAGAAGGGTCATGTTAGCTGTAAAATGTCTGGGGCCATTTACGAAAGATATAGTCAAAAATTAAGATTTGTTTATTTATTTCTGAATAAAACAGACATAAATGAACATGAAATTTGTTCTTTTTTAAAGAATGTCATCAAAATTGGGAATGAATTTTATGGTGAACAATATTAAAATTTCTATTATATATTCATTGGGCAGTGATGTTCAATATTTTGATTTTATATACTGTATTTCATTTTCAAAAAAGTTTGTTCAAAAATGTACATAAAAAGCAGAAAATAGAAAATATTCCCCATGAATACTTCCTAAAAGACTTAAAATTCTCTTCTGGCAGAGATTTGTAAAAATTTAACAAATCTCTTTAAATATTTTTTATAAAAATCATTTGCAGCAAGGTCTTTTTATACAGTATATAGTTAACTTTTCAAAAATTTATGCTTTGAACTAGTTCAAATGTTGGTGAAAACAAGCTATGTGGGCTGGATAAATTCATTTCAGGAGCCATTGGTTGGAGACCCTGATTTTAAAATCAAGGTTTCCAACCTATAGCTCTTAAATAATGATAATTTGCAAATTTGCAAATTAAAAGAGTGAGAGATGATCTTACTCTGTGATGCAGTTTATATGAGTTTTACAGTATTCCAACTTCTTTTCTATAGTTATATGAGGAAAAACAGATTAATTTTCATACACTTATCAGCAATAGTGAGGATACAGATATCTATGTTTCTCTAACAATAAACATCAACAGAAGAATGCCTCACTCTCAATAGCTGGTGTCAAAAAAGAAATAGGGGGTCTTTTGTTAGTCTAAGCAGGTTGCTAGAAGAAAGACTACAAGTCAAATACAAAAATAAAAATCTGACTCATCAAGTCAGCTCAATGATTCCAAAACAACATATCCAAGTACATTATTCTTTCTTCCAGATTGTTAAATTAAAGAAAATAACAAATTTTTAATAAGTTTATCATCATTTTACATGAACTTACTACAGAGATGTCTTTTTGATAGAAAACAAAGCAAAATGAATTGCCATACTGACAAGGAAAGTTCCTGAAATGTGTATATGACATTGACAAAATAAAGATGGTTTGATGAGGCAAGCATTGGTGTGGATTAATGTTCCTTTTCTAAAGAAATAATTTACAGCAAATAATACAAGATTATGAAATAGCTTGAGGTAGAGAAGGAAAGAGGGAAAGAATGGGTTTTAGTTCAGAGCTGACTTGTAGTCTTCATTTTTCTTTCTTACAAATATATCCAAATCAAAAGTGATTTTTTTTTCACATCATATTTTTCTTAGTGATTACCTTGATTTCATTGATATGAAAATTCTGAATTTTATTTTATGCCAGAAAGATTTCAATCAAAATTACATAAGTTATTCCTATTATAGGTTAATTTATCCTTAACTATTATAATTTTTCATCTATGCCATAATTCTTTCATATTTATACATAGCTGTAAATAAATTTAATTCCATAACTCTGTATAGAAATGTATTACATTGAAATTTTAATAAACATTTTATCATCCTAAATTAACTGTATATTTTCATGGCATAGATATAAATCCTTTAAGAAGTTTTGAAAAATTTCACCTAAATTCTTTAACTTTCAAATTTGTTCTTGATACTAATCACACATTTTATTTTTTTCCATAACATTTTAAATAATTTTGGTATAAGTATTTCTTCGAACAATCAATTTAATCTATAACTTTTGACATGTTATATTAAGTTAAAATGAAATAAAGTATAATTTATTTGAAATTATTTATAAATTTTATGTTAAAATATAAATAACAACATGTATCAAGTACTAACAATAAAAGATAAGTTACACAACTATCTATTAGCATTATGGAAAAATATGTTTAATTCACAAATACTTTAGACAGTGTATAACTATCCTCTTCAGGAAAAATGAAGAACAGAATACAGTAGAGCATCGGTTATCTGACTCAATTGGGGACTCGGGTTGGTCGGATAACTGAAAAAATCGGATAACCGAAAAGAATGAAAAAAAATACATTATTAGTATAGTATATTAGTATATCGCTATTAACCTACTTTGCGTTGAATTTTCATCAATGTTAAGCCTAACAAATTTTTTTTTAAAATAATAGTCGTCGCTATTCTATCATTAAAAATTATTTTAAAATTATTTTATTGCTCACAAAACAATTAATCAATCAATCATAATTAGAAAATTAGGTATTGTTTAAATACTGGCCTCCCTTTCATGGTCAAGTCAGTGTTGCCAGCTAAAACACTCAAAAATTTAACAAAAATAATATCAAAGTAGCCAAGACGTAGCCAAATATCGCAGCACTACATCTCTAGCGGACATTTGAAATCTGCCGACTAGAATGGTCGGTTAACCGATGTGACGGTTAATCAGGGGTCAGATAATCGATGGTCTACTGTACTTGAATTTTAGAGATAGAACATTTTCAAATTGTTTCTCACATACAAGCATGGAACATAATAATATATGACTACAAAAATTATACAATATTACAAAAAGTATTATATACAATGATTATCACTAATAAAAATAACAAAATTAATATATAAATAAATAATAACAATTAAACAAAAAACAAATACACTGGTGCGCCATTGATGTTGCAACGTTTAATCTAATCGTGAACTGTACAACTTACAATTTTAGAAGATTAAATATCCATAACTCTGTTATGTGGAGGAGAGTTGCACAGTGACATTGATGTAATGAAAAGGGATTCCCATACGAACAGTGTTCTTCTGTCCCCATAGCATTTAGGGGCGAAATTTGCAACCAAAGAGGGTCAAAGTTATACTCTATCACTTTTTTTGGCCAATTCTGTTGTACGCATGCTATGTAAAACATCTTCACAATGCTCTGCAAGACAGATACAGAGCATTCTGACAGTGGCTCCAATATATAATAGTTTTGATCCAGTTAGTGGGTTTTGTAAGGGTATGGCATAAACTCCAGATTTTTTTAAAAAGTGTAACTTGTCTTTATCATCCCTTTTCATTACATCAATGTTATGCAACTCTCCCACAGATACCAGAGCTATGGGTAGCACTATTTAACTTTCTAAAGTCATAAGTTGTGTAGTTTGTGATAAAACATTGCAACATGATGCTCCAGTATATTTGTTTTTGTTTAATTATTGTTTAATTTGTTATTAATTATTTATTTGTATATTAATCCTGTTATTTTTATTAGTGATAATAATTGTATATCATACTTATTTTCATATCATATAATTTTTGTAATTTCCTATTTATAATTTAAGTTCCAAGCTCGCCCATGAGAAACAATTTGAAAGTGTTTTATCTCTAGAATTCTAGCATTCTGTTCTCCATTTTGTCTGAAGAGAACAGTTATATACTGCCAAAAGTATTTGTGAATTAAACATAATTTTCTGTAACACCAATAAACAGTTGTGTGGCTTATCTTTTAAAATTTTACATAATTTTTATTTTGAGAATATTTTTATATTTTTTTATTGAAATACATTAATAAATAAATAAATTATTAAATAAAATTAATAATAAATTTTTTTGAATATGTGAAGTGGTACCAGTTCTGAAATTGATAAATTACACGATCGTTTGGATGAACTAGAAAAATATTTGAGGTAAGATTAATTTATAATACTTTTCTTTATAACTTTTTTATAAAAATAAGTCAAAATTCTAGAAATAAATACTTGATAACTAAACTGCCAGGAATCAGATATATCTATTTACAAAATTTTATCTATTTCCTAAATAATAGGCATTTAATATAGATATTTAAAAGGAAAAATGTTTCTGTATGTGAAAGAAGATACTTGTACTGATTATGAGGGCTGTTCGGAAAGTTCGCGGCCTCAAATAGAACAACAAACAAAATAATGTTAAAACTTTTTTTATTTTTCAATGTAGTCTCCTTTGTTAGCAATGCACTTATTCCAGCGATGTTCTAGCTTTTTTATGCCATCACAATAGGTCGATTTGTCAAGGTGTGCAAAATACTCGTTTACTTCAGAGATGACTTTGTCATTTGAGTGAAATCTCTTTCGAACCAAGAATTATTTTAAATTTGGAAAAAGGTGGAAGTCACTGGGGGCCAAATCAGGTGAGTACGGTGGATGTGGAACTAATTGGAAGTTAAGTTCGTTCATCTTTTGTTCAGTGATTCTGGCATTATCGTGGTGAAACAGAACCTTCTTCTTCAAGTGTGGCCTCTTTTCTTCGATTTCTTTCTTCAGTTTTTCCAAAAGTATACAGTAATAGACAGCATTGATGGTCTTTCCTCTTTCTAGGTAGTCAATAAAGATGATGCCTTTAGCATCCCAAAAAACCGAGGCCATCACTTTACCCGCTGATGGAACTGTCTTTGCCTTCTTTGGTGGTGGCGAACTGTGGTGTTTCCATTGCTTCGACTGTTCTTTTGTTTCAGGAGTGTAGTAATGGATCCACGTTTCGTCAGTAGTCACAAACCGACGCAAGAAATCCCGTTGGTTTTTCTTGTAGAAGTCCAAACACTCCTTTGACATCAAAGTGCGAACACGTCTTTGCTCAGAGGTCAGCAGATGCGGCACCCAACTTGCTGAGACCTTCGTCATACCCAAATTTTCGGTTAGATGTGGTGCTTTCGGTCTACAAAGATGCCTGTTATCTCAGCTATCTCACGCGTTTTCAAACGGCGATCTGCTAACACCAAATCGTGAACTTTGTCGATGTTTTCTTCAGTGACAGCAGTTGACGGCTGTCCGCTGCGAGGGTCATCTTCCACACTTTCTCTGCCAGATTTAAAAAGGGCTGTCCATATTTTCACAGTGGTGTACGAAGGAGCAGACTATCCTAAAACTTCATCCATGTCAGCTTTGATTTGAGATGCGGTCAACCCTTTTTTCGTCAGGTATTTTATGATCGCACGAGTCTCCATCTTCTCCATTTTTGACAAAGCATGTGCACATTGACTATCTGCTAAGCTGTCGTGGCAAAACTTTATGACAAATCAAGCGGAAATTGGTATCGTATCTTTAACAAGGATGACTGAATTATTCCCGCCAAAAATTAAATTGATCGCAGCGCCGCATATAGGCAAGGCCGCAAACTTTTCGAACAGCCCTCGTACTTACATGCTATGAAATTTTTATTTTTTTAAACTCTTTTTGCTCTGTGGCACTAAGAGGATCATTTTTTCCATCCCCATCCTAGGTCAGGCCCACAATGGAGCCTGACCTAGAGTGGTGTGACCTGGGGAAGGGACAGGGACCAATATATCCAGAATGAATGTCTATGCAATGTTCCTGGGGAGTTGGAATCACTTCCAGATGGTGGGGATGATTCCAAAACCTTCAGAGTAGTAGGCTAATGCCATAACTATCTTGGCCATCTGTCTGTCTATTTTTTGTATTAAAGAAAGTTCTATTTTCTATTTTTATTTAATACTTTTTAAGTAATGAGCAATTATTTTATAATAATATATAAATGAATGTGTATATCAAGAATTTATTTTAGTAAAACTAAGCAAACAGAGATAATTTTAATCAAAATATCTTTGTTTGTTTACTTTTATTTACAAACAATAGTGTGTTCTTCTGATTTTTAACACTTTTTCTATAATAAAATTTTACAATGAAATTGTTTTGTTTTTATAGCTTTAAATATTTTTATTGCTGAATTATTATAATCTAATATTCAAAATCTTTCAGATACTTAAAATCAAATTATGGATATATTTTACATCAATTATATTTATATATTATTGCTCCAATAATTACTTAAAGAAATATTTAAAAAACTAATTAGAAAGAGAAGACTAACTGTATTCTCAATATAGTTAGCATTCTCTTTCTAATTATTTGATTTACAATGTAGTTTTCTGATAAAAAAAAATTTATTAATATTTATATGTTAAGTAAAAATTACAAATTGATAAATTATACTTTTTACTGTTCTATTAAAAATAATTTTCAAACACATTAATAAAATATTTGAAAGGAATAATTATTTTGAGTGTTATCTGAATAATTTATTCTCATATCCAATAAATACTCTTCACTTTTTGTATCGAAAAAATAAGATAAATATCTTTATTGTTTCTTCATCTAATTAAACCCATAAATAGATCAAAATATAATAAGATAAAAATAGTAATTGATAGTATTCTTAAATTGATAAAAAACATAAAGCTTATTACATTGTTTTATGAATTTTCAAATTGTTGACAAAATTTGACAAACACATCAAAAAAAGTTCCTAAAATAATGAAGTAGCCTTTATTCCAAACAGACCTTTCTTTGTAGGTTACTGTTAATTTGGTAGATTTTAATTATCTTTGCAGTTATATCTCTGCCAGAACTACCACTATTAGTAAACTACAATTTATTATACAATTTTAATATAAATTTTGATGAAGGGCAAGTTTATAATTTTGAATTGTTTGCTATTATGTAAATTTAAATTTGAAATGTAATATTATTTGAATTAATTTTACAACAGTTCAATATTATGTTTATATAGCATAAATAGCTTGTAATTAACTTTTCAATAGAAATTAATTGTAGATGTCTCAATGCAAATTTCCTTAATTAATTATGATGAAAATTGGAAATACATAATTAACTTAATCACTTTTCTGAAATTTCATTAATTAAATGGCTTCTTTTGTAACTAATAACATTACTTTCTCCATGTTATTAAACAGCAACTAAACTAAGTAATATTTAATCAGAATTCTTCTTTACTAAGTATTTCAATATTCTATCTATGTATCTATATCTATTTCAAATAAACATTTTATATATATATTTGAAATAGATATAGATACATAGATAGAATATTGAAATACTTTATAAAGAACAATTCTGATTAAATATTACTTAGTTTAGTTGCTGTTTAATAACATGGAGAAAGTAATTCAGTAATATATATATATGTTATCAAAATATTTGAAACAGAAATTTACTTTTAACAACAATTACAACAATTGTTTAATTGTGCAAATCATATTATAACATTGATACAAAAATTTTTGATAATCTTTGTTCACAATGGATCATAATCTATTATGCTCTGTATATATGTTTTATTTATTTAATATTTTATTACTTAAATTACTATTTTTTTTATGTTCCATACAGTGTTGCAGAATTATTAGAACAACATGGAGTTTCTACAACTCTCAGCTATCTTTATACTTGTAATAATAATCCTGAAGAAGTGAAAAAGTTATTAATTAAATTGACAAGAACTGCCAGCCGTCAGTAAGTAGAAATATTATATAATTTTTAATTATAGTAATTATAAATTAATAAAATTTTAATATTTTAACATATTT